AAAACCTTTGGGATTTTTGCAGATGACAAAAAGGGTTTCTAATGTTATTATTCCCTTTTTCATAAAAAAGTTACAGGTTATATGGGATAAGTTCATTACAGAAATTACTTTGGGGTTTTTTTATGGAAAATATGAGGGTAATGTAAAATTATCAAGGGGTATCTAGATTCTTTACTTATGTTGTTAGGAAAATTATGAGAGGGTCCCTTAATGCCTGGAGGCTTTTTAAAGTTTAATCTGTTTTATAAACTATTGAGGGGTTGGAGTGAGGGATAAGGTTGGTTTTTGTCACCTGAAAAAAAAAATCCCGAAATAATTATGTTTTTAAAAAAAATTATAACTAAACCTCTTGCTGAACCATTCTACAAAATTTTAGAAAAATAAGGGTGCAAGCCCGTGTATTTTTTTTTGCAATCTAAAAACGAACTGTTTTTGAGTTTTTTCTATATGTTTTTTTGTATACATTTCCTTTATCTGAGGCTGGTTTAGTTTGCTATAACAGTTTGAGTTTGACCTCTTGACCTTTGACACGATGACCTCAAAATCAATAGGCACCTATTGCTACCCATTCGCGATGACCTTGCTAAGTTTAAGCAACAAGGGTTTATTCCTTTTTAATTTATTGTTTGGATGAAGATTTCATACGGATCGTCATTGTGACTTTAACTTTTGACCTTATGCTTTCAAAATCGATAGAACTATCAATTGGCCATGAAAAAATATCCTTTTTAAGTTTAACAAACTTAAAACTTATTTCCTCTCAAAATATTGATCGCTGTAAACTTCCTTTTGACCTAATGATCTCAAAATCAATACGGATCTTCTACCGACCATAAGTTTCGTTTCGCCAAGTTAACCAAAATAGGATTTATTTCTTCTCGAGCTATTGATCTATCAACTTTTCGATAATTACTACCACTTTAACAGTGTTAAATGGAACTTCTTTGTATTTGAGGAAATGATTACCTGAATTCCTATCTTCGTTTGTTATACTTTTTTAACTATATTATATAAGCGATTTTATACGTTTCATTGCAAGTTCCGTTTAAATCATGTCTTTTTAAGATTTGGCTAAAAGGTAAATAAAGCCTCAGAAATAAATACGATTTTTTTTCTCTGAAGAAAAGAAAACTTATGTAAATACAATGTTTTAATAAACGATTTTGATCAGATTATATGCTTATCACATGACGAAAGCAATGTTTTTAAAGTATAAAACAAACCTTTTTTCAAACAAAAATATCTAATAGTAAACCACGGTATCTTAGAAAATTGCCATAATGGAAATAATTGTACGGCTATATGAATAACGTTTACCATTTCGGCAACTGTCATCGACAACAAAGATAAAAAATGATGAATGCCTTCATTATCTATGACTATCAAGCTTTGTATCCTTTATTTTGCTTCAATATGTGTAACCATGCTTAATTTGTATGACTGTATTATTTGTATGATTTTAGTTTTATTAGCCTTGATTTGGAGCTGCTTTAATTTAACGTATTTTATGTTATTAATGGACGGTAAGCAAAAGTTAATGCTAAAAAGTTTTCAAAAAGGTGGGGAAAATGAATTTGAGATGCATTGTGTGAGCAAGATTAATGGGTTTACACCACATGGCTTTATACATTTATTTAACACCACGTGTGTTTAAACATTTCTGTTATTTATTTATTTTTTACTACATGGGTTTGTACATTTATTTAACCCAGTGTTATTGTTTTATTGTTCACCTATTTGCCAGAGGATTTTCTAAGAAATTACTATATTACTATTTAATATAATTATTATTATTTGATATTAGTATTATAATAATTATGTATGTTTCAAAATCTGTTAGTATAATAATAATAATTGCCGATGGTGTAATTTTCTTTATATTTATTATTATTATTTTTATTATTATTAATTTATTATTACTACTATTATTATTATAGAAACGGCTAAAGCCGTTCATATGGCAAATACGCCGAAAATATCAGGGACGGCTTAAGCCGTCCCTATGGCAGTGAAAGGGTTAACACCACGTGTGAATATATATTTATATTATGTTATTTATTTTACACTACATGGGTATGTACATTAATTTAATATCACGTGTATTTAGTTTACATTTATGTTATATATTCATTTTACAGTAAATGGGTTTATACATTGAATTAACACCACATTGGTTTGTACATTTATTTTACACCAAGTGAAATAAGAAAAAAGTTATATTCCTGTTTGATTAATTCGCTCCCTATCCCGCATTTGGTTTCAAAAAGTTCTGGGTCGCCTGCTTGGTCAAAGGCCAAGTGAGCTTGTTTTGTAACATCAACAATGCATGACGTACATGATTATATGGTCATATAAATGTCAATGTGAAGGTTGTCTGATAATATACGTCATTAGCGCAAGATATATAGACATGTGCTAACGTGTCCTTCTCAGAATCTTTTCTAACGGCACACTGAGAAACAACGAGACTTAGAGAAATGGAAAAAATGTTGAGTTCACCAAGATTAGGTTGCATACACAAGAGCGGAAGTTGTGAAATTGATATAAAATCCGGCCGGATTATGTTAATACAGATGTCAAATGGAAAGCGTGCTAAGCACAGCATGTACATGAAGATATTTCGAAATGAATATGAACACCACGCCCAGTTGTACACTGACTCGGACTACAAGTTTATGTTCGGGTACATCAGCATGCGGAAATGTAAGATCTTCAACTCGTTTGAGCAAAACGAAATAATTATCTGCAGTAGCGTCAAAAAGCATTCCGGCGGGTCAAACGAATCAAAAGGTCTTGTGTTTGAAGTGGAAAAAAATGAAGATGTGTCGAGTTGGATGGACGCACTAACACCAGATGTCGATATGCCTACTGTATCGGAATTGTCTCCCCTAGTAGAAAGAAGGAACACTTAAAATTGGATAAGACGTATATATGCTTTTGTTTTATAAAAGTTTTAAATTTTGCCGGTCATTTGAAGAACTCCATGAAAATTCTTTTTATACTTCAATGGACAATAAAATTCAAGGTAAAAATGAGACTTTCAAACTGTACTTTTGTAAGAAGTTCGAATCACCCTTTCGTCAACTGCTTTGTGAACCAACGACCTGCTTGGTGGAACCAAACCTGCTTTGTAGAACAAGCGACATGCTGTAAACTGATCGCTGCACTATTGTCAAATGAAATACTGTTTTTATATGATTATTAAGCATACATTCGTTTACCAATTAAATTTGACAGTATGGTTGAATGACGCCCATACAATTTACAATATCAGTATAACTGGACTTATTGACAAGACGCAAGATAAGCGGAATATGGCTCAGGTACATGGTCAATAACTAATTTTTTGGACACTGTTACTTGACACCAAATATCAAATGATTTCTAAAAAATTTAAATGATAATATTTGTGAGGCTTTGTGGGCCTTTAAAGCTGCTTATATGTATGTTTTAAATACATTGTGTGTATCACACATTTATTTTGTCATATTGTTTTGATACTTTTGATTAAGAAGTTACTGCTTTTGAATACTAGCAGTGCATGCGAGTTCTTTTATTAAATACATCAAACACTTGGACTGTGGTAGTGTTGTAGTTTTCACTTCGGATCAAGGCATTGTATTTACCAGAACACAGTTTAGCTACCACATTTTTCCTGGGCAGGCTGACAAGCAGTTTACCAGTAAGTTAGTTGCATTCTTTTTCGCAAGGAACCGATGCTTTCTGTACATGCCAGAGTAGAGGTACAGTGCGAATGACCGTAGGAAGGATTTTATAAATAATTGAATCTCCTAAACGCTCTTCCTATTGAATTAGCCGGACGCTTACTTGGTCTGAGTATCCCAAGAAATGCTTTACATATTTTTTTACAGACACCAGGTATATTTGGGAGTTTAAACATTTCATACAGGTATTAACATCTTAAAAAGGACATATTATATTTTTGAAATACATATAGTTGCCAATCATATTCATTTTATCGAATAAATTATCAAAGTTCGAACTTATTTTATTGTTTATTTTTGACTTGTGTCTGTTAGATTGTTACTGCTGATAATAACTACAATACTCATGAAAGTCAGCTTACTGTTTTGCTGCAATAGTTATAGCTGCAGTTATCTAGTTTAGAATTATTAAAACAATTACTTTACATTAAAACTATTTAAAAGATGAACTGCATAATAAACCGATTTCGATACTTTGATTTTACCAAAAGTATCCAAGGTTCGTATGATGTCTTTTAGATTCGAAAGCTGCCTTTAAAGTCAGAATCTTTCTTCGGATGCTGCCTCTCAAGTTAGAATGCTGTTTCCAAATTCGAATGCTACCTTCTAGGTTTGAAAGCTGCCACTCAGATTCGAATGCTGCATTCTACCAGTAAGAATAGAATTCTGCCTCTAAGATTTGAATGTTGTCTCTAAGATTCGAATGCTACCCACCCGTTAGGTCTAAAAGTTGTCTAAAGGGTTCGAATGCTAATTCTAATGTATGATTGCTGCACCTTAACTGTAAGGTGGTAATTATGACTCTCAGGCTTTCTTCGCATGATAACTTTAATGTTAGAATGCTGTTTAAGGTTCAATGATTCTCTAGAGGTTCATACGCTTTCTTTTATGGTTTCAACATTACCTCTTAGATTCAAATGTTGCATCTCAATCCCTAAAATTTGAAAACTGTCTCAATGATCGGAATGCCACTTGTTAGGCTCGAATGCTGCAATTAAATTTTGAATAATGATGTATGTACGATTTAAATGTCTCTTTGGTTCAAATGCTGCCTAAAATGTTCAAATGCTATCTCTAAGGTTCGAATGCATTCTCTGAAGTTCGAATGCTGCCCAAGTTAAGTTCTTATGCCGCCTCTAACATTCGAAATCCGCCTCCTAGGTACGGACCATTCAAATAAATACCTTATCTTTATGTATTATGAACTTTTTATTTATCAATTTATTTTGTCTTAAGGTCTCTTAAAGCAGAGAAAATGAAAGAAATTACAATCTATCAAGAAGGAAACTTTTTATTTCAATTTCATAGTTACAATTGTCACTCCAGTAAATGGCTATCTCTGGTTGATCTTAAATCCCCGGTCTCATTTTCAAGAAAACAATGCACGAACTTTGGGTCTCCGTTTCGTGGCCGAGTGATAAAGGCTGAATATTATGAATCATTTCCCCTAACTATTGCGGGACTTCTTTTCAGTGAGCTACCCAGCTGTCCAACTAACTTGCAATTCTATTAACATGTACTTTTTGGTTTGTAACAACGCAAAAATAACACCCGAGTCTTTCTCTACATTAAAGCTGGAAAGTAACCATTATACCATCACAGGCTCTGGATGACTTGTGGGTAAAATGTAGATAAACAAAAGAGCTTGAAAAAATTACAATCGTGCCGTAAAATGTATAAATATATATTCATTCCAAAAATTATTTTCAAAAATCTTTGAAGTTAGACAGTGTTTACATCCGCTTTAGAGTTTTTTCTTATTCTTTAAAACCACCCTAACATACATGTATGTCCAATTTTCATGGCCTGTCTGTCCTGTTATTTGACTTTATCTATCTATTTAGAACAGTTACAAATTTCGTTCAAGTATCTTCCAAGAATGGAGTGTTCAGTTTATTTGCATCTCCGTTTCGTCCTAAATCTTGCCGTTTGTTAAGTTCTTCTAATTCGACAAAACTATCAACAGTTTCACCTCTATATCTTCTTGTACTATCAACTGAAAGAAAAATATATCTTAATTAGTTTTAGCCAAAGTATTGTTCTTTGGGATATTCAAGTTGTTTATAGACGGAAATTAAGGACAGATAATACATGTTTACTTGTCTGTTAAATTATTATTTCATATTTTGTCATCAAAGTACATTTTTTTTTTTTAATTGATCAAATATAAACATTGTATTTACAGCATGGGTATATAAGGTATATAAACATATAACTATAAATGAATTCAAAGTAAAAAACAGAACATATCATAAAAGAAAAATAATTCATTTTACATACTACACTCATTCATCTGCACTCTCTCACTGCAGTCTGCGCTTTTGATATTGTTATTGATCATATCTATTCATCTTTTCAGTCATTTACTTATCTCTAAAGCCCTTTTTATCGGGGTAAAAATATAATAGTTTGATGTGTAGTTTTTGTATTGGTCAATACAGCCTAAAAGTTTAAGTCTGCATATATGTAGAGAATAATAATAATAATAGTAATAATAATTATAATAAAAGTAATAATAATTATAAGAAGAAGAAAACAAAAATATTGTGTTAATCTGAATAAATGAAAATTAGATAAGAATTCCACGCAGAATTAAAGGTTTCAACATTGTTATTTATCATTGCAGTCTCTTTTTCAATGTTGTAACAATATGTTATATATTTTTTAGCTCTAAAAACTGTGGGAATACTCTTTTGCATTCTACATTGATAAATATACATCTTATAGTAAATTAAAATTAGATTTTTAGTTTTTGATAAAGGACTTTCATCTGTTAAGCCAAAAATCATTTCGTCTGCAGTTAATGACGAAAAAATATTCTTTTTTGTTTTGAAATAGATATCAATGATGTCCTTTACAAAACTACATTGCCAAAACAAATGTTCGATAGTTTCGTTTTCATTTTTACAAAAGGTACAAAGAGGATTATCGTTATATTTAATTTTATGTAAATAATAGTTAGTGCCAATTATTCTATGAATAATCCTAATTTGAAACCACTGTATCCTAGAATATTTTGTTATTTTAAATGGCATTTCGTAAATTTCTTTCCATTTACTTTCCTCAAATGAAGATCAAGCTTTTTCATCCAGGTTGCTTTACTTGTTGGTTGTGTGTTATTAGTATTCAATAAGTTGTAAGTCTGTTTTGATCCTTCATTGTTAATAATTATGTTTTTCAGATAAAGAGGCAATTTTGGTCCACAATTTTTTTTTACGTCATTCATACTTAAATTTAATTTTGTCCTCATTTCATTTATCATTTTTTAATTCCATGAACGATTAAAAAGTTTGCATTAAGCCTGAATATATTATTAAAATCTTCTAATGAGAGAAAAGCACCGTATGAATCAAACATATCTCCGATATAATATACACCGGCTTTAAACCATGAATAAAGAACTATACTTTTATTGCCAATTAGTAATTTATCGTTATAAAACAATGGTAGTTCTGCGAAAGATTCGTTATTTATAGGATACTTATCTATATATGTAGAAAAAGCATTAAAAGTGTCCTTCCAAAAAACGTTTGAAATGCTTTTTGAAATTTTATCTATGTAATGTTTTCCACAGTGAAATAATTTTTGCATATCAAATTCATTTATGATAATGTTTTTCCAACAGGCATCGCTAATCATTCTTTTGAACCAGCTTATCTTTAAAGCCATTATAAAAGCATTTAAGTTTAACATTTTTAAACCTCCCTCTGAATAGTCCTTAACCATAACAGTATTTTTTATTTTAACATTTCCTTGCCATATAAAATCATAAAACATATTGTTAAGTTTATTTATCATGTTCTGAGGTGGTGATGGTAGGGCTATAAAAAGATGGTTTAAACTTAAATTGAAATTAAAAGCGTTTTGATAACTGCGATTTTTTCTATTGGAGTGAGACTTCTCCTTTTCCAATGATTTATTAAATTTTGAATCTTAATTAATTTATCTTCATAGTTTATATGTATCATTTGTTTCAAATTTACATCAAAAATTATGCCCAGCATTTTGAAATTATGTTGGTTCCATGATAATTTCCATCGTGTTTTTATACTATTTGATGAGTATTTATTTTTTCCTATCCAAATTACTTTTGTTTTATCAAAGTTTACATTTAGTCCAGATATATGAGCAAATTTCGATAACACATCAAGTGCCTGATTTAAGGAATTGCTTGACCCGTCCAATATTAAAGTTGTATCATCCGCAAATTGAGATAATTTATGTTCTAAATTATTTGTCTTTATACCTTTTATTTCTTTACAGTTTCTTATCTTAAGAGAGAGAATTTCAGCACATAAAATAAAGATGTAACAAGAAAGCGGGTCTCCTTGTCTGCAGCCTCTACCTATTGTTACAAAATTTGACAGAAATCCACATTGACTTACAGCAGACTGTACGTCTTTATAAAAAATATTAAACCATCGTTTAATAGAAATTCCAAAATTAAAATAAGACAATGTTTTTTGAACAAATGACCAGGACAAAGAATCAAAAGCTTTTTCAAAATCAATTAAAAGAAGAAGACCAGGGATATCTTTCCGTTCAGTATAATGCATAATGTCGTATATAAGTCTTGAATTTTCTCCAATATATCTACCCTTAATAAATCCGGTTTGATCTTTGCTAATTAATTTGTTTAAAGTTTTTTTAATTCTATTTGCAATGACTCCAGAAGCAATTTTATAAACTGTATTTAAAAGAGTTATGGGTCTCCAATTTTTTAAAAATTCTTTTGGTTTATTGTCTTTAGGAATACATGTAATTATTCCCTGTGTTTGAGTTATGGAAAGTTTGCCTGATTCATATGCGTTATTAATAGCTCTAACGACAAAAACTCCTATCTTTTTCCAAAAAACTTTGTAAAAATCTGCGCTGAAACCAGAAGATCCTGGACTTTTATTATTTTTCATGTTATGTAAAACTAAAGTTGCTTCATGATAGTTTATTTGACCTTCTAAAGCATTTGAATCTGTTGGACTTAAAACAGGTGCTTCTATGTTTGAAATAAAATTTTCGAAGGAATCGTCATTTTCATTGTGTATTTTTGCCATAAATAGGTTTTGATAATATTTTTCTAATTCTTCGAGAATTGCTGTTTGTTCTTTAACAATTGTTCCGTCATCCTTTTGAATTTTATAAATAGTTTTAGAAGTGTAATTTTTTTTCTCTAAGCTGCAAAAGTACTGTGAAGGTTTTTCACCTTCAAGAATCCACTTAACTCTAGAACGAAAGCACATTAACGTGTTAACTCCCATTGATTTATATGAGAAGTAAACCCGTTACTATACTATGGTGACGATTAATTCATGGAATTGATGACTAATTTGGAAGATAATTTATTCTAGCCTACTATATCTGTCAGATATATTTCATTTTTGTTAAAAAAAGATAATACATGTAAATTAAATAGAAGCTGTGCGGAGTAAACATTCAAATGAATTTTAAGGAGTATTGTCTCAGATGTTCTTTCTCTGATAGTAAATTAAGTTATTCATTTCATTCTCATTAATAATAATAATAACTTACTTTTAGTACCAGTTTTAGTCAGACCCGAAAAAAATCTATTGCAGGGAAATATTGTTCCTTGGTGCCAAGAACGTTTTATTTCTTCTCGAACCTAAAAAGTATGATGATTTAATGCTTAATATTATTATACTAAAGCTTAAAACGAAAACAAAATACATGTACTGCAAAAACGTTATAAATTATACAGGTTTGACACAGTAATATTAATAATTTATAATACAATTAGCAACATGCTTGTAATAATTTGTATGTATATTTTTAATTTCCGTGTATAATTTAAGTCACACAAAACGATTTGGCAATATACAGAATCAGAAAACAATGGTCAGTGCTTTTATGATTGTTTACTTAGCTTTTCAACGTCATGTTTCGTATTGTAAATGTCAAATAAGTTTTAAGATATATAAGTTTAAATTGTTATCATAAAGAACCACGGATATTCAATCTTAACTAAGCATATTTTATCTTTTGTGAAAACACCTAATATTAAAAGTCTCAACCAATACTCTGTAGAATCGGACACTTCTGTGGTTACGACATGGAATCAAAGCAATACACAATTCGTGATTTACTAGCTAAAGAGACTTCAGCTAACAGGTTTTATAGTACTGCTAGACCTGTTCGCTGAAGCCAATCCCGTATTGAAAGTCAACCAGAACCGTGACATATTTATGTCATGCTGTAATTCAATAAATGTGCGTGATCTGGACAAAACCTATTTAAATACAGGTAGTAAGATATATTTGGGACACTTCAGTCTATATTTTTGAACACAGAACGTTAGATTGATGAAATAATGCCTAAAAGTTTTTCAGTGGTTCGCATTTCATAAAATCCGCCGCCATTGCTGCCCTTATTATCACGTGACTAGCGAGAATTTAGGTTTGGATACCTTTGCATGACCCGTGACCCAAATGCTATTTTTAATTGAAAACATTGCTTTGCAATTATGAATAACGGTGTATTTATTCAATAACAGACATTGTACCAAAACATGTTGGATTTATATTGTGTTGAGTGATGATTCATAAATTATTTGTTTGTATTATTTGTTTGTTTTTATTTAAAATCGTACACTTACTAAAAATAGTGTATGGTCCGTTACTAAAAATAGATGCTAGAATTCCCAAAACTTGAAGTCCCGCAAGATTTCATTTGAAAGCAGACTCCATATTGGTAAACATTCTCTACATATTTACCTAACAAATAGTTGGGTACACAATGTCATTGAAGTTTCATTTAAAAACAAAACACTAATTAATTCAAAATTGACTTGTTTATCAAATGGTATTTTTATTTGACCCAAATTTGATTTGTTAGGGTGATTTTAATAGGTTTTTATGTACGGGGCACACGAACTGCCAAAATTCTGGTAGCCTTTGCAAATAGGGTTGACCCATAACTTTACTGTCGCACAACGTCAAAATAAAAGCGACATATAAAGTTATGGAAGCCAGAACTAGTGATTTACGGGATCAAAGAAAGTCAATTGCTTTTGTAATATTCATGCTAAAAGTAGGAATGATAAACTACAATATGAATACAACTATTTAGATATACCGTTAACGTTATACCTCTAAGTTTATGAAACAGAGTACCACGGCTATGAAAAGACCCTGAAATTTAAAGCAAATATAGGCATAGATAAAAGTACTCAAAATGAATAAGTTTATGTGACTAGCTTATCTTTTTAGATTCATCTTACTAACCAAACGCAGACAATTCATGCGTTAAATAATGAGAAACGATTTATAACTTAAATGTACTTAGAGAAAATGTCAAAAATGCGCCGTGTAGATGATGAGTTTTTTTTCTACTTGAATGGTTAAAACATTAAAACCTAAGACGCAATTTTTTTGTGGATAACCAACAATTTGTAATATTAATGACAATAAAAATCCTAAAACACTTATCAAGGATTCAAAATATTCATACTTTCCGCATTTAAAACATGACAGCTTTTATAAATTCAAAGTTCATTTTATAATTATTGTTACTTAGATCCATTTTTCAATTGATTTATTTTTACAATTGTATACTGTAGTTATACCAACCACGTTTATATTGCATTTTTGTATCATATGTATGTATATTAACTTCATTGTGTTAATGTTATTCTAAACCAAATACTGCCTACTGACAACACTCAGCCTCTGTTTCTAACAGCTATATTTTTGTCACGTGAGAGGGTGTTTTCCAGCTTGACGTCATTATTTTTGAAAATACCAATATGGCAGCTGGCAGACATGCTCACAATAAGCCATAATCCTTAAATAATATATATATACATTTACCTGAAATGAATTAAAGAACATTTCAATGAAGAGCATGACAAAATTCATCGTATCGTTGAGGGTATTAAGTGGTATTGTAAATATCAAGAAATATACGCCAAAAGTCGGAACCAGGAAGAATGTACTTCTGGCCAGTCGTCTGAAAAATAATAATAAAAAAGAAAAACTCTTAATGCACAAATGTTACGGTTATAAATCATTTATACAGGTCTACTCGTGAAAGTTCGGTATATTTTGCTTCTTTCCGTGTCTTTTAGTACAATCAAATGTAACGCTTAGATATTTAATTTATGGAAGGAGATAATTAATGCACCTTTCTGACGCGTAATTTTCTCTTCCGTGTCCCTAATAACAACACAATATGCATACGTTCGCTGCCATATAAATATATCTTAAATAAATATGTATATAGTGATCGTTTTAATGAAAGTGCTGTATGTAAAACGCATCATTAATGCTTGTTTTATCAAACATAAGATTTTATTCGTGTCATTTATTTCTAACGCGCACAAATCCTTTGTCTGGTCAGTATAAATTATAAAACTATTCAAAGCTGTTTGCTTTGATTAGTATAGTATGGCGTAGCGTTACATGTTGGCTGTTACCAATTTGATATCTAAAACACTTTTCAGAATCTGAAAATTTGGAATTACAGTCCAAATACCATGCTAGACAACTCCACTTATTTAACGTGTTAAGTAAATGAAAAAGGATTTTAATACCTGTATTTAGTGCGTTTCGAATCAAGACAATGAGGCGCTTGCAGTTTCGTGTACAACACTCTCACGATATTGATGAAAAATATGAAATTAAGCTGAAATATATAAAAAGTGCATGAATAAAATGTTTTTTTTATATACCAAAACATTCTCTAAGCTCACAACTTCAAAAGAATCAGCTGTGCAAAACCACGATATGTCTTTTCCCTTTTTAACGATATACATGTATACTTTGGTAATATAGTGCTTCAGAACAACAAAAACAACAACAATAACATTAACAACAAACAATACTAGAACCAACAATACTGAATCCTTTGAATTGGTCGATTTCTATTTTCGAACAGTAAACAAACATCAACATAAACAAAAAATCAAAAACAACAAAATGCCTGGACAAAATTATTTGTAAATAATCTAAATATAAACAACCCTTCCACTTCGTGGTGTCCAAAGACATGTTAACTTTAAGAACCACAAATATTGCAGTTCTTAAAAATAATATAACACAACTTCAAATGTTTCCTAATGGCATGGTAACTTAAATCATCACTATAGCTCAAACTGCGATCTCGATAATAAACCATTTTAATATAACGATTTTAGTATGTTTGTTTCTTATACGACTGATCACTTTGTGCCCTTGATATTTTGTCTATTTTGCCCGTGAAGGTCAAGTTATAAAATCTTTATATAATTTGCAAGAGTTTTGATATAAATTGACAGAACAACAATCGTTACACCACCGAAAAATTGAAAATTCAACCTTGACCTTTCATTGATTTCGTCCGTGAATGTCACTATAATAGATATTTATATCATTGGCCGAAATTGTGATATAAATGGACAAAACAACAATATTTAAATAAATAAATGTTGAATTTATCAAGTTTGATGATGACCTATCAATGATTTCTAAATCACTTCACCACAATGTGCTACGATGTGTTTGCCTGTTAGAAATAGAACAATCAAGCCTCGTCCCAGCTTTCTTGGGTAAATGGATGGTCATTTGTTATAATAAAGTCTAGCATTGTGCACAAGGCACATTCTAACCTAGTATTTTGGGGGAAAGACCTGGATTTGCGCCTATTTAATGGTTATTTATATTTATCAAAATGTCACTCAATTTGTATCACAGACAAAGTGTGACAGAACGATGTAAGTCAAACACTGTGATTCATTAACAATGTTTCAGATAGTAAATTATGTTTTTTTCACATTGTTTTAATTGACGAAAATAGTTAATAGTCAATAGTTAATTTTCGAATCAAGGTTAAACCTAGTGATATAGCGATCTTACCAATATTGTCACTACTATTGGGCCTTTGAAAATCCAAACCAGTTCCTTTTTGTTATAAGTGTTCCAACAACTGAAAAATAAAACATCAAGCTATTTCTATCACCCGTTAATTATTTTAATTCATAAAAAGAGAAACAGAAAAAGAGACAAATCTTATAATATAGGTGTCATACAGAGTTATGAACCTTGTCGATGTAATAATAAGTATATGTGTTTTACACATTTTCATACATAATGAAACTGCAAAGGTGTCCGTACACTTCGTAAAGTCCAGCTTAAAATGTAACGCATAAAACTTCTTTAAGTCATTTTTTAAAACCCAACATTTAAAATGCCGGTTAAGCTACAGAAATCCCTTTTATGTCCTCTGTAACTTTTTATTTTTGTGTTCCGTTTCAGTTTACGAAACGTTACGCATTAGCAATATATCTGAACTATATTTTGCATTTTTGACATCAGTAAAGTTATAGTGACTTTGTATTTTGTAGGAAAGACAAAGTACCACGTTTTTCTCCATATCAACCTACATTTTAGCCCATAAAAGTTTTATCATCTTAAAAGGGCCGGTCCATATTTCTATGTGGACAAAACCATTGATCTTGGTCTGTATTGGTCACATAGGTACCACCAACATGCTAAAGGTAAAAAGATACATGGACGGCACTTACAAAGAGTTATCCAGATGGTATCTTGCTATACACAGACATACGATTATAATCCCTGGAAAACCTGAAAAGTAAGAACGCATACAGAAAAGAATAGTTCGAATTGAAATCCATTGATCGTATATGCAAGATAATAAATAATACAGAAAAAACTATCAAAATAAGAAAGAATACAGAAAAACTTAATAGTGAAATCAATAGATGTTAAACTTTATCTATATAGAGAGAGCATCTTAACACGAGGCTATCCGATTTGTACGAGGGGGCTGAAAGTCAATAGAACTGATATTAAAAGGAAATAAATAAACTTCATAAATCAAGGTGTAAGTTGTGTTAATGACCTGTTAGCATTTGGAATTTCTTATTAGTTATTATTTCATACAATAATTAACTTTAAGGAAATAGATAATTATCGAGCATACGTAACGTGTGATTATATATTTGTAGTTGCGAGTATCAGAAGTTGTATTATTGTCATTTTTATATATCTATGTACATGTTGGAGGCGTGTTCACTTGACAATACTTGGAGTGTGTATCCGGAACAGTCGTTGGTAAATAAACTTTGTATGTAGTCTGGGTTTACCATCACGAGTGTATCTTAATGAGCATTACGATTTAGACAGATATTATTGACCGCCTGTATCTGTCATTTAAGATTTAGAAAATTGCCATGTTGAAAATTGTCGTCTGCCTCTTAGACAATATCATTTTAAAATAGAATATTGAAACCAAATAGTAATTAAACATTTTTCCTGACACTGATTATCACTGTGCGACGTTGAAATTGATATGAGAATTACTTTCTGGAAATGACAGTCAAATCTTTCAAAGTAATGACATATCGTCTGCAGCCGAAGGTTTTCAAAGGTACCATGTAATTATATCTTTTCTGAAATATGTCTGATCTCAAACATACATTTTGATACCGTGTGGTGAAGTCACGAAAGAGTATAAATGCATTTTCGTTAACGTTTTATTCATACGCCTGTTCTGGATGAAAAACATAATTCATTCTGTTTTGTTCAGAGTTTCTTTATGCATTGTACAGAAAGTTTATGAGGCGCGTCACGACAAAACCAACATTGTGCGTTTGCGACCAGCATGGATCCAGACCAGCCTGCGCGTCCGCGCAGTCTGATCAGGATCCATGCTGCTCGCTTACCAACCATATAACAAGTAGCAAAACTGATAGCGAACAGCATGGATCCTGATCAGACTGCGCGGATGCGCAGGCTGGTCTGGATCCATGCTGGTCGCAAACGCACTATGTTGGTTTTGTCATGGCACGGCTCATATAATGATATAGTAAAAGGAAAATTAGATCAGTGTGGTACTTGGAGCATTTATCTCTTTCGTTGATTGTAGGTCTACAATTGTTCTCCGTGTCATGTAAATACATCATTACACAGTCAATTCGGAAGATACAACCACTCTGATAAGCCCATACATGGAATAGTCCATAATTTTTCACTTTTACTGACATGAATATACATTTACATCATTGCATGTATTCATAACAAAAGTCAATCTTGCATACAAACTATAGGCACGGAGGTATACATTAACGGAGGACAGAAAGGATTCTCGTCTAGTACAGGTCATATGGCCACTTTCCCGCTTAACTGGTGGAGGAAAACCTCGGGTGCCCCTTTCTGCATCATTTCAGACACTTGCATAATTTAAAACAGTCGCTTAAACTGAAATTGTGAAAATATTGAACATATTATTGTGGGGTTATATGAAGTTTATTGAACACGAAAACACACTAAAGTCACACGTCAATATTTTGACACAATTATATGACACAAACAAGTCGATGAATACAGGATATTTAATACGGATCGGGATCTTTGAATTCTTTCAGTAGAGAACGATTGTACTTTAACAGTAAACTTAAAATACCAAAAAAAAAACAAAAAAAAAAAAACGATGAACGTACACAATAACCGATGCTACAACAATTGTCATTATCACTTAAAGGTCTTGTAAAACGAGTAAATGTCATCACCAACGTAATCAATGTCTTAACTTGAACAGTTTGAAATGTTAACTTGGCAGATGTGACGTATTACAAGACTCATTGTCCTGAAGCCTCCAGATTCAAAAGTAAAATCATATCACAATAATATTCATATGTTGCAAAAAGGGACTCAGTTAAGAATACATTCAAATCATACGCATATATCGGAGTCAATAAAAGACAACGAAAAACATGAAAATGGTATAACATATCTGAAGCCATATAGCTCTCACGCTCCCTAGCACCGACTAGACCAATCAGATGATCAGTCGAAAATCGTCTTAAAGAAAGATATAGATTACTTACACCATCCAAACAAGATAAACCATCGGGCTTTGATTTTATCACTGAACAATGAGATGAAGATGTACATATGTAAGTATACTGCCTCGACGAATATCCAAATATAGCTGGATGCGACGGCGTACTGGAATATGCTAAAGAACAATCTGCACTCCCAATGCTGGAATATAAACATTTAATTTGATAAAGATATCCCGAATAAACAAGATTAAACGAATCATTTACCGTTGCTTAAGTGTTTCTTTTTAAATTATTTATGTAATAAAAGTGATATAAGTCTAACGTATAAGCCGCAAAAATATATTATTATCGATGAATGAAGGTATATATCATGCATTGGGGAGAAGAGGCATTACAAGCTTAGTCGGTTGGGCCGCAGAACAACGGCGTTCTCAGGGTCCTTGGTTCGACTCCAGAGGTTAGGCTGTATATTTTATCACCCTGTGACAGCAACTTTTTTAAACGGGTACATGTATCGGTATATTACGAAACGAGGACGGCCATCGGATCCTTCGCTCTATAAAATTAAACTTAATATATGCAAGTTATACAATTACGGCAGACCCCAGTATTTATTTTATCTATTTTTTTTAATGTATTTCTACTGACATATAGTGTTATAGTAAACTAGTAGAATTTTCATTATAACATGGAAACATTAGCATGGAAATTGCCAGCACGGAACAAAAATGATGCAGTGTCTCTTGCAATAATTAAAGCAGAATATTACCGGGCCTTCTTTGAATACAATTATTCCACCAGTCTCATTGTATGTAACATCTTTAGGAAAGCCTAGACCTCCCACCATACAATTTTCTCTGATCAGACTGATTGATGCACGAAGCATGAATGATGCGAATAAATTCAAATGTATACTGTTTCTAGAGCAACGCAACTTTCTGAAACGAGAAAAAAATGTAAATGATTGACTACATATAGAGCAGAAACATATGAGTAGGAAGCTGAACTAAACTAAATAAAGAAAACATAATAATAACATAAATCTATGCGTTTTACAAAGCGACATATTTGTTTAAAAATAAACTTCTGGTTAATACTTTACTCCCCTTAATGCAAGAGAACAATATACTTCTACAAACTATATACATGTAATTAAAACACCTACTCTTTTACAATTTTTTTTATTTTTTACATATAGAGTACGGCAAACTGAAAGAGCAAGAATGGTACACTGTCTGTACTTTATTTTGCACTTAATGACGGTTTTAAGAGCAAAAGAGACAAGAGAAACATAAAGACTTACTTGAAATAAACCATGATGGTAAAGGCTACTAAAAGTGACACCAGAGACACGGCATATCCTACATTGTACATAACCCTCATATCTGACACATGTTTCTGAAAAAGAATAATAAAACTAGCATAATATGAGCCGCGTCACGACAAAACTAACATAGTGGGTCTGCGACCAACATGGATCCAGACCAGCCTGCGCATCCGCGCTGTCTGGTCAGGATCTATGCAGTTCGCTATCAGTTTCTCTACTTGTAATTGAGTTGGTAAGCGAACAGCATGGATCCTGATCAGACTGCGCGGTTATTGGCTAATGATTTACTTTTTGGTTAAAATATTACGCGCCATAAAAAATAAAAGCTTTTATGAAATAAAATTAAAAGCATTTCTGAGGCATAATGGGCCTTGAAAATTACAAAAAATTATCATCTCCTGAATTTAAGACCTCAATTATCAGAGCTCAATTTATGTCTGATATCCTGATTATTTCTGTAAAAATCACGTTAATAATGTCATAGTGAGACGAAAAGACTGCACAAAATTGTTTGAGGAATTACATTATTCAAATGACAAAAAATTAAATCAAACATTTAATTATATTTTTATAGCACTTTTTAAATATTGTTAGAGAATAATGAATAATTCATTATCCACTATTTTTTGTCAAACTTAAAATTTCTGGCACCAAAAGTGTTATTAAATCAAGACAGTTTCTTGAACTATCTGTATGTGGGTCAACATGTCTTTTATTATGTCACGAGTTTAAACAATTGTCTCCTAAGTTTTGTCTTCCATACAAGGACACCATTCTCTTTATCTGACTCATAACATGCTTATTATCTCAAATAGACATTTCGACAAAACCCTTCATCATTTTAGAGAAATTTTCAAACTCTGTATTAATCTAACTGAAAAGCGAACATTACACCCATGATAAGAAGACCGATCCTTGTCTTACACTGGTCGTATGGATAGATTATGTCACCGCTAGCATGCTCAGATCGTTTAGAGCAGCCCACATATAAAGTCGATAGAAATTGTCAATCATACATATGCCGTAAACTGAACTGGCCTGAAACGTTTACCATCTACTTAAATCAGACAGTTGCTTATTCACTTAATAAAGTTCTATTCTGTTGTATTCTGTTTTCTCATTTCGTTACATATTTCGTGAAAGTATTTAAACCAGTATTGGTCTATCACAATAAGAGTTATCATTACATATATTGTGATTGTATATCTGGGAATAAATACGGTAAAAAATACGACCAGAAAGAGAAACTGTCAAATAAAGTAGTTGCGAAAAGTTTGTACTACTCTAATCCAGTTTTAAAACAATGAATACATATACAATAAGTGGAAAAACTAACACTTAGTGCCTTTAGAAGAAGAACATACATGTACTGTCAAAAGTCAAATTAAAAAAAAAATGCCATTTCAGAAATGCATAGATGTATTTTATCATAAAATTATATTATACTCTGCATACCGTAAACACTGATTGAATCTGCTACTTGCAATTGTTAATTATGACGAGACAGTTTTTCTGTTTACTTTGACACATTAATTATAAGTGCTATTATTTTGTGGATTGTAAGTGCCAAAGCTAGCGAGTACTAGAAACAGCAATTTTAAAGGGCCATTATGCCTTCGAAATGATATAATTTCCATTTCTCAAAAACGTTAATGTTTCTATCTTGTCACAGTTTCCAACAATATGTTTGTCATATACATAAACTATCGTTTGCTTTTGTTTTGCTCATTTGACAAATGGTATAGTTAAGATTTTTGGAGGTCTAAATACTACAATGTACTTTGTTTACATTTTGCTACCTCTACAATACATCTCTGCATGTTTAGCGCTACTTTTTCAGTTGTTGAATATCTTACAAGCTCTTAATCCATTACTAAATCATTATTTAACACATGTAAGGTATTTCTAAAGAATAAAAGCATAAGGATTTCTGGTGAATAATGTGCCTTTTATATTTCGATAAAAAGTCAATGAGATGCACAAACCCTTGGACTGCTGGTGGCAGCTGTATACTCCCATGTGACCAGTAAAGGCACCTCCGTTACGTCTAATCATGGTCTACATTGTGCACCATTCAGGGAGCATATATCTTAAAAACTTTCTCATTAATGATGAAATTTTTACACATTTAATTTGAAGGATAAAACATTCAATTTGAAGGATGCACGACTCCATCTAAGATAATTAGCGCGATGAAGATTAAAGATATACTAATATTCACCGAGAAAATATGCGGAACATCGTTGGTAATTTCCTCTTTACTTTCCGTTATGTTATTTGGGCATTCCGTGAAATTAGTCCAACCTTTATTGTTAACACTTCCGTCAGACCGTGGCAATGAAAACCATGTTCCGTTCTCTAAACATATTCTTGTAGCGTAGTCTGAAATAAAAGTATTATTCAATATTTTATTTTGCAATAATCAGGGTAAATTATCACAATGAACTTTAAAAGCCTTAAATTTTAATGTCTTTGTTTTTTACTGTACATTTGTATATTAAGATCATGTATGTGTGTATGTATTTGGTTATTTATCCCTCGCCACCGGAATGGACCATATCGACGAGCAGATACTTTATCTATAACAGACTTCTTTAGAAGGGAGCTGAATATATTTACTTCTACAGTTATTAACTAGGACGATGTACGAATTCTCTACATTGCATATTTTAATCTATTACTCGCAATAAAGTTGGTTTAAATATACTTATTCCGGCATACATAGCATGTGAAACAATTTTGAAACATTCCTTAATCTGCTTCTCTAAACGAACAGTGTTTGATGTTATAACAAATGAAAATGATGTCATATGGTCACACTCCGGGCCTGGTATAATCGAACTGATCCTCAGACAGTTTGTCTTGTTCCACGACCTATACGTTTTCTATTGTGATTATTTCTAGAGTATCTGCAGATACTTTTATTTAAAAAGTACAATTAAAAACATTTAAGAACATGCTAAAAATCAAAGAATACTTCAAGAATGAATACGGATGACTCTTAAGCTGCGGCCTCACTTCCCCCCGGGAGAGCCCAGGACCATCCCGGTTAGTTACCGGGATGATCCGGGACGATCCGGGGTGAAATTATTGTTGCGGTCACACTTACCCCGGCAGCACTACGGTAGTTCCCAACTAACCACCCAGGATGCGTGATCATCCAGGCAGAACCCAGGTGAAGCTACGGTTCATGCCGGTGCTTCCCCGGTCGTTCCTGGATGATGCCGGAAGAGCCCCGGTCGATCCAGGCAAAGCCCCGGCAGAGCACAGGACGATCCAGGCAGAGCCCCGGTAGAACCCCGGTGGATTGAAAACGCCCGAAAATGATAACATTGATACATAATTTTTATCTAATATGATATCTATTGTTCCAGAATAGTTAGTTATTCATGACGATTTTCTGAAAAATCCTTATGCCATACTGGATAGAAGGGAAATCGGAAGGGTTTTAATACAAACAAGTGCAATCATCGCAAATTGTCGTTTTTCTTTTGAAATGATCCAGGCTTTTCCAGGGCTCTGCCGGGATCAGCCGTAGCTCTACCTTTATCCTCCGAGGATCTGCATGTAGTTACCGGGGCTCTACCATAGCTCTACCGGCTATATCATACCCCGGATCATCCCCGGTTTGTACCGGCAGAGCTACGGTGCTTCCCCGGTATAACCCCGGTCGTTCCCGGCAGAGCTAAGGATGAAGCCGGCAAAGCTTTACCTTCCCGGATCATCCCGGACCACCCCGGTGATATTAAATATTTTATTCCATCCGGGGTCGAATGCCGGATTTTCCCGGATCATCCCGGACGTTGCTAGCAGATTTACGGATGTACCCCGGTTGGTTCCGGTCGTACCCCGGTCGATCCCTGATCACCCCGGACGTCTACCCGGGCTCTGCTGGGATGTAAGTGAGACTGTAGCTGTACTTACTGTATTTTTGAAAGTAGTTAATGTAGGCCGGACACGGCTGACTGACGGTTGTTCCCGCGGGTGTATCTCCCCAACACATAACATTGTCCCACGTACGATTACAATATGTTCCTATAATAATAGTAATAATAATAATGATAATAATAATAATTATAATAATAAGAAGAAGAAGAAGAAGAAGAAGAAGAAGAAGAAGAAGAAGAAAAAAAAGAAGAAGAAGCAGAAGAAGAAGAATAAGAAGAACAAAAAGGAGAAGAAGAATAATAAGAACAATAATTGTAATAATAATGAATAACTAATTAAAAATAAAGTTGTTATTTTGCTTTATCTAGCAGTATCATTTTAAAAGATTCAGTTCTGCTTTGATATATGATTATTCACTTTGACAATAACAGAAACCACAAGAAATTATGTAGATGAATTTATGTCGTTTTGACTGAGCTAAATGCGTCTTTTAATATATAATCTACGTTGTAGTTAAAAACAACAACAACAAACACAAATAGTTGCAAGCAAAGGACTTTCTATGATTTGTTTAATAGGTTTTACGTCACACCTTTACATAATAGGTCATATGGCGACGTTCCGGCTCTACTCTTGGAGGAAGACCTTAGGTGCCTTTCCGTACATAATTTCAGGCACGAACGGGAACCTGAGTAGAACCACCGACGTTCCGTAAGCTAAATGACTTTCTAAGGCTTATATATGCACATGTATATTAGCGTTCAGTCCTATTATCAAAATATTAGTAATACATTTTCTTACCTGTCAGCGTAACAGGATCTGACTGCATCCGGCACCTGCATTCTTTCTCTTTTAATGCCAGAAGAAACCTTTGCTGTTTACTTTCAAGGTATGCAACGTCCTAGATATCAAACGTGTAAATAGTATATCAATATTCAAAACGCTTCATTATTATTTTTCTTACAATGCACACATGTTCTTTATGGACATGGGGCTCCAGAAAGAAAATAAAACATGAAAATTAATTAATTAATTAATTAATTGATGAAATGTTGTTTAAACTGTTTCAAGTTTTGCCTTAAATAATAATGCAATGAAGGTGTTAATATAATTCAATAATATGATTAAATTATATAATTCTATAATACTCCTTTTAATACGTGATCATCTTATGTCAAACGTACAAAATTGAAATCATAATATTTGTTAAGTATAAAAAGTCAAATCTTCCTTTCCAATTTAAGTGCATACATCAAGATACACGTACTTACATTCCCAAGTTCCTTTGAATATTTCGTATAGTTATAAAATTCCTCGCAATCCATTGCATCAGTTCCTACAAAAAATCAACAACACCAAAGATGTTATCATGTTATGGTATTCACACTAGTAAGAAAATGGTTTCATTCCAAAAGTTCATGTTTTCCCTCTCTAGACGAGTGACGTTAATTAGACAGTCGTTAGAAAATCTGTTGCAACAGATGAGTATTTAAGCATCAATGTAACATCAGACAATTTTCCAATAACTGAAATGAAAACTCATATATCTTCATGATGATAACTTTTGTGTGTGCAAAATGAAGAGTAAAAAACAATGTATCTGACAATGTGTTGTCTTAAGATACTAATTTAAGATGAGGCATATTAATTCAAATGACCTGACACGAATCAGATAAATATGGTCATTTGAAGGAAGCATGACACGAAATAAAAGGAATAATCTTAAAACCAAAATAAACAAAGTAGAAAAATGCAAGCAAAATACTTAACATGAAGCTTTCTTTCTTACGTTTTCCAACTATATAATTTATGAGCCGCGTCACGACAAAACCAACATAGCGCGTTTGCGACTAGCATGGATCCAGACCAGCCTGCGCAAATCCGCGCAGTCTGATCAGGATCCATGGTGTTTGCTTACAAACCGTGTAACAAGTAAAGAAACTGGTATGGACAGCATGGATCCTGATCAGACTGCGCGGATGGTCTGGATCCATGCTGGTCGCAAACCCATTGTGTTGGTTTTGTCATGACGCAGCTCATATTATTTCATGCATGTTTTTTTTTTCTCAACATGCCCCCCCCCCCTAATTTCTGCAATCCTGGAGAATTTACTATATTGATATTGATGCTTTAATTTAACAATATGGATAATGATAACAATAAAAAACAAAGAAATAATATTTAAAAAGTATATTCAAAGAAAATACCTGTGTATTTTTTTTCAACGGTAACATACATCGAGCATACATTTTTTTTCGCTTATTAATAATTACATGAACGACGTCATAAAATTAAGAAATATTACATTTTTAAACAAACTGGAAATATGCGCTCATCTCTCGGACAAATGTTTAAACAAAACGAACAAATACACTTACATATAACCTGCTGTTTCAACTCAAGCTATAACTAATCCTCAACAATCCGTTGAAAATAATTCATTTATTTCAAAATGTTGGTAGCCTACCAAATTGAAATCAAAATTGAATAATTGTGACTTTCACTTTAACATCCTTAAAATGCTATGATCGTCAAATATTTTCACCTTGAAATATTCCCACACAATCTACCTTAATTATTTTGGTTTGAAATTTTCAAGTTGTAAAGGTCAGTATTTGATAGTATTATGTCAAGCTGAACTTGTTACATGATGGTTGTTAAACAACTAAACGAGCGTAAAATGTTAACACAAACATACTAATCAGCTTGTTTTGTTTTGGTCATTCATCTGAATGGCCGTGATTTGATAATATGAGTTAAGTAAAACCACTCTGTGACTTACCATATGCATACAAAGTTACAGACTTACAGAGAAACATATCTTACAAAAACAACATTATTATTTTAAGGTTATTTCTATTTAGGAACATTTATGATTTAATCATTTTTAGAATAATTTCGATAAACTCTCATCAGACAGTTATAACATTTAGTTTTTATGCCCCCACAATGTGGGAGCATATAGCGTTCACTTGTCCGTCCGTCCGTCAGTCCGTCAATACGTCAGTCCGTCCGTCAGTCCGTCCGTACGTCCCGAAATCTTGTGAACGCAACTCCTCTTAAACCGGATGGCAGATTTTGCTTAAACTTACAGGGATGAACAACCTTAATGTGTAGATGGTAGTAAAGGAAGGAATTTTTGCTGCGACCAAATTTAACAGAATTATGGCCCTTAGTTCATTTTTTCACCAGATACTATGTAGAAATTTTGTGAACGCAACTCTTCTTAAACTGGATGGCAGAATTTGCTTAAACTTACAGGGATGAACAACCTTCATGTGTAGATGGTAGTAAAGGAAGGATTTTTTGCTGCGACCAAATTTAAGAGAATTATGGCCCTTTGTTGATTTTTTCACTAAATACTATGTAGAAATTTTGTGAACGTAACTCCTCTTAAACAGGATGGCAGATTTTGCTTAAACTTACAGGGATGAACAACCTTAATGTGTAGATGGTAGTAAAGGAAGGAATTTTTGCTGCGACCAAATTTAACAGAATTATGGCCCTTTGTTCATTTTTTCACCAGATATTATGTAGAAATTTTGTGAACGCAACTCCTCTTAAACTGGATGGCAGAATTTGCTTAAACTTACAGGGATGAACAACCTTTATGTGTAGATGGTAGTAAAGGAAGGATTTTTTGCTGCGACCAAATTTAACAGAATTATGGCCCTTTGTTGATTTTTTCACTAAATACTATGTAGAAATTTTGTGAACGTAACTCCTCTTAAACCGGATGGCAGATTTTGCTTAAACTTACAGGGATGAACAACCTTCAGGTTTAAATGGTAGTAAAGGAAGGAATTTTCGCTGCGACCATATTTTACAGATTTTACAGATTTATGGCCCTTTGTTGATTTTTTCACTATATACTATGTAGAAATTTTGTGAATGCAACTCCTCTTAAACCGGATAGCAGATTTTGCTTAAACTTCCAGGAATGAACAACCTTTATGTGTAGATGGTTATAAAGAAAGGAATTTTTGCTGCAACCAAATTTGACAGAATTATGGCCCTTTTTTGATTTTTTCATTATATACTATGTTGAAATTTTGTGAATGCAACTCGTCTTAAACCGGATGGCAGATTTTGCTTAAACTTCCAGGGATTAACAACCTTAATGTGTAGATGGTAGTAAAGGAAGTATTTTTTGCTGGGACCAAATTTTACAGAATTATGGCCCTTTGTTGATTTTTAGTTTTCAACTTGTGGCACATGTAGTCCAAAAAATATTTGACCTAGAGTCATAAGATTGACAGAACAGTGGCGTGTGGGGGCATCCGTGTCCTATGGACACATTTCTAGTTGTTTGTTTGTTTGTGTCATTTTACGCCTTTTTCCAACAGTATTTCAGTCATATAGGCGGGTAGTTTCCTAACCATCGTTCCTGGAGAGTTACACCAGTACTTGACAACCTTCCTCCGCGCTAAACTACCAAAGCATCTCCCTGGGATCGAACCCACGCCAGAGAGGTAACTGGATTAGAAGTCATCGACTCTAACCACTCGACTACGGAGGGGGTTATATAACATTTAGTAAAAATGGAATAAATAATATATATTTATAATACACATACATGCCTTATTAAAATATATTGAATATTTTATTGTATTTCTATTCAATTATACATTGTGGCAATTTAAACTCTCTCTCAATGAACTTTCTGTCTGTGAACTATTTTAACAGAACATACAAATATAATATATTATGTACTTCCAAGAAGAAAAAACAAAAAATGTTTATAATATTGATATTTCAAACACTAAAAGTTCCAAATCAGTTGAATGAATATTTTAGCATAAAGATAAACAAAATAGTAAATATCTTTAAATATTTCACTATCATATCTGTTATCATTATCTCCGTTCTTTTCTTATATGGATGATAAAAATCTTTCAAAAGCTTTACGCATGATCTAGTTTTCAGCAGCTAATAGTGTTGCTAAATCACAATATCTAGTGAAGTTTATATCTACGGTATTTCAAGATAAATATTATGTTTTGCTTTTGTTATAGAAATGCGTTGCGAAGAAAACTGTAAACTAATAACGGTAAAATATAAGTTAAAATTGAATGTCCTTAAAGTTTGTAATTCATAGCATTTGTGTTGAGTGATTCTTGCTCTGTTATAATTCCAAAGAAGAAAATTGTAAACTTATAATGGTAATATATTAGGTAAAAATGAATGTCCTTAAAGTTTGTAATTCATAGCATTTGTGCTGAGTGACTCTTGCTCTGTTATAATTCCAAACCATATGTAAAGACAAGTCTGATAGAATTTTAGATAGATTGGCAGATGTTGCTTAATGAGCAAGAAATGAAAAATGCAATTATCTTTCTTATTTATAATTTTATCTCCACGTGCAGTATTTTAACCACCCTCATTGTGTTAACAACATTATATTGACATTACTCAAATCACAACATTGGTGGATGGTAAAAATGAACAAAGTAATATTTTACAAAATGCACTCATGGAAAACTACATTACCAGTTTATTCTTTTGTAAACAATAAACGAAAATAGACTTTTCGTTAATTCTCATTTTAATGCAGTTTAATATAACACAACAACAAAAAAGGTCGTTTTATTCAGGGAGAACTCGTTCATTATAACATGTCAGAAATCACGCATTGCTTCGCAAGAAAATGAAGTCACACCGAAACAAACATGTATCTTGTACCAAACAAATACAGTCTCTCAATCAATAAGTTTATCATATAGAATATTCTTCAAAGTTGCAACAATCACATATTTTCATTTTTCTATAATGTCATTGCTTTTATTTAATATAAATAACAGAAATTTTAAGACAATCAAACGTTTTTGTGAATAATGTAGTGTCAAAAATGAAAAAAGAATAGTTCATGAAAATACAAAACAAATGAAAGAAAAAGTATACAGTTTGTATGAAATCAGGGTCAAAAGTTATAAAGACATACTCAAACTCATATATTAGGTATTTGATTGGTCAGAATCTACAGAAAAACTTCCACTGACCAACGAAAATAACAATATTTGAAACATAACTCAGAAAAAAAAAGTTTTATAATCTCGAGGCATGTTCTTCTTAAAAATCATTTTTTAATATTCTTTAACTATCAGTGAACAAATGTTGAAAAATACACACACAAAAAAATCGATCTGTATAAAACTTACCAAAATGAATCAGGACTCTATTTTCATAATCCTTCACTTGTTATGACAGTCAAATAGTTTCTATTTAAAAATAAATGCCTGCGCTTTCTATCTATAATTATTTTGTTTTTAAATTTTGAAGTTGAAACGGTCAATATGTAAATATATTGGGATGAGCTTAACTTGATACATGATTGTTAAACGGCTGAACAAGCATAAAATGTTTACATATAAACGACGTACTATAATATCTTGTTAAATTGTGACAATCTCTATAAGGTCAAAATATTGTATACGAAATATTGTAATTCAATTTCACAATGCGACCAATCACATTTAGAAAAACATTCAAGGTATAAATAGGAAACATAACTTCGTGTTTTTATTAAAGTATTTTGCAGCATTTTTTTCACTTACCTTTTTTAATTTTTGTTAATTATGTATTGGTAACGTTATTCATTTGTTCACTTAACTTCTTTGATTTTTTTTGTAAGTTTTTTGACTGATCAATAAAATACTTACTGAATGTGTTAAAACGCAATTATGAATAGTTAAACTTAAGTTTTCTGAATATAGACAGAATATAGACAACATATTTTCATATCAAATATTCCATTAATAACTCTTTTTTTCATACAGTACAGAATAGAACAGAAATTTTATAAAGACTTGTACAAAGTTCACCATCTACAATACATTACATTCACATATATGTAAAAGCTGATTGGTATTTAGCAAACAAAATAAGGACATCATATTTTACGTATACAGTAGTTTCATGACAACAAACAAACATACAAACAAATATACAAGCAAACAAACATGTAGTTATGGTAAACTGTGCATTTACTGTATAGTTTGGTAAATAAATAGGATAAATTATGGATATCTTTGGAATCGAAACAAAACATTTGGAGCATGAACATTGATTTCAATTTAAGACAGTGCAGTTGAAAGTGCATACCTAATGGAAACAGCTTCTTTAACAATTTGTAATAAATGTATAAGATCTTTATTTTTGAGTTTAACAGTTGAGTAAATTTGTAAACTGATGGATTTCTATAAGGAAGTTTTTAAGTGTTGTTTTCTTACACATCAGAACAGAACATAGCAGAGATTATTTCATAACTTATACATCATAGCATTACATATACAAATTAAATGGTATTCGTCTTCAATATCTAAATCATTGCAAAACAAACAATACGAAGAATCATATTTCTACTAGATCTGAATCTTCACGTTTGAATTCTTAGAGGAAGACAATCTAATCTAATCTAAAAATATAAAATTTTAAACACCTAGGTATTATATTTAAATACCATTCATATTCAAAACAAGGTTGAACATTTCTATATACATTTGTATATGTAAAACATGACTTTTCAAGACTACGGAACCATTCTTGTTTGGAAAAATCAAAACGACGGCATTTATATTCAAATAAAAACAAAACATTGTCTATATTGTCACAATTATCATAAATGTATGAAAATTCATAATCATTTAAAATATTTAAATATGATATACCAAATTCACCTGATTCTTCATATAGATGAAAGTGTCTTTGAGTATCTATCTATGTCAACTGATTTCATTAACTGATATTTAAATTTTGCTCAAAACATAAAGCTATAGCTATCAACCTATCTAATAAAATTGCTTACATTACCGGATTATTATCATAAAATCAGATTATTCATTGAGAAATAAGTCATTTCATAGCATTTCTTAGGGATGGACTTTAGATAGATTTAGTTGAATTTTGAAATATTTGACCTTAGCATGTGTAAACAGGGTGCATTCACTTCATACAAAAAGACAGTGCATTTTAAACAAGGAAGTATATAATTTGAAAGAAACCACTGAAAGGTGCTTTATGTAGAGCTGAAATATGAAAAAAGACATTAAGCCAATGTGTATGGCTTTATTTTTGAGATATCTCTTCCATTTATAAGTCAAGCTACAAACATTTTCCGTCTGCAGATATATGACCAAATGTTTATTTCAATACAAATATTGAGTAATCTGAACAACAATAATATCATGTTTATTCTTAATTAAGGTACAAAATAAAAACTATGAGACTTTGTATGCCTGACATATTTCAATAGAAATCAGCAATTATGTATGTAATACTGTTTTTAATGAATTGTATAACATTTAATAATTATACAACAATTATGACAATATTGAGGAAAAGAAAAAAACATTCAAAGCATTGTAGAAATGAAAGCAAACTGTATATAGAAAAGCAAAAGCTTTGACAAGTCCTCGAAACAAAATACAATTATGCATTACATTTTTCTTTTCAATCAGTTATAAATGTTTTAGTACTTTACTTAACCTTTAGAAGACATGTGCTATGATACTTTTATTTTACAAGAAAGTGCTCTAGCGATACAATGCACTAGAAAATGATTTCTTATGACCTTATTTTTTTATTCGACTAATTCTAAAATAAGATAGTCGACAAAGTACATTCCAAGAAATCGCTATGTCTGCAACACAGACTATAAATATTCGTCTTTATTAATGTGATAGAAAGATCTTATTTAACTTGCATTATTGACTTAATGACTACCATCTCTGAAACACATCCTCTTCTTGACAGAAAACGTTCAACAAGAAAGATGTTTAAATGACGCACAATTTACAGAAGGGTTTTTAGATTTTAAATTCTACTAAATCTTTTGAAATTATTCTAAATGAATATGCACGGAATGACTCTAGCCGTCGAACATTAATGCAAAGAACACAAGTTTCTCTACATGTAATAGGGTTTGTAAGCGAAGATATGTAGATGCGTTTATCTAAGTCTATGTAACTTATCACGTTAAGACGCTTTGATTACTGTGATATTGAAAACAAACACAAACTAACGATTGCACATAAAATTCATCATTTGAAACTCATATTTGATCCTTTTCGTCAAAACACACTTGCTAGCTGGATTTATGAAACACACGAGAAAATAAAAGAAATTGGTAAAGGAACAAAATAATGAACGAAAACAATCGTAGGCATGACAACATAATTGCGATAAACAGACGATGATTCGAGCATTTGCGAAAATATGAAAATAAAATTAATAAATGCATAGACAATGTACATAAACATTATAGAGTATGTAAACCAAATTCTTCAAAGGCACATCAAATACCTGCGTTCTCATAATTATCTATTAATAATATTTGAATGAAATTCATGAACTTATCGGGCAAGATGACCGTAGTTAAGTCAAAGGATACCAAGCACAAATATTTGCACAAGGGTTATTGGCTTAACTAATTCCAAAGGTAAGCCAATATCATTTGATTTATATTACAGACTAAAATTAAACCAACAAACTTTAGCCTGATAATCATTTGATCTGTCTGATGAAATTTAAATCATTATAATTATTATGGTTTTTGTTTTTAGTTTTTTTTCAGTCTATGAATATCAGTCAACTATAAGCATATCAAACAATATTGATTTTAAATATTAAAGGAAATAAAATTAATTCTAAATTCACCTTTTCATACATTGAAAAAAAAAGGTACTGCGACAGTTGATAGTAAAATATTCTTTAGAATGGCATGAGCTTACATATCAAAATATTTCCAAACGACAATTAAAAAATTAATCACTCTTCAAAGAAAATGTCGAGTAATCTTTTTAACAAACAATTTGATTCATTTGGAATCCACGTAAACCGGCAATGCTCCTCAAAATTAGATTCCGAAATTTATTTTATTTAAAACTTCCCTTGATTAATCCAAATTGCAATATAAATATTTTTGTTCAAATAAAATGTCATTCAAAATGTATGGCTTTTAACTTCTTATTGCAGTACAACATATTAATCTCTATTTTCCAATCAATAAGAATTAACACAGAAAAACTAGCATGTGTTATTAATTTACATATACACCAAGCAGTTTGTATCTTTTAAATGAAAATATATATAATATGAAAATAATCGACGTCGTTTTTACATATGGCGCCAAATATGCATATTGATTCTATTAATCTTAAAAAACCACATTTAATACATTCATATTTTAGAGAAGAGTATTGTTTTAGTAGATTTTGCAGAGGGTAGATATTTGAATTCGCATCATGCATACGCAAACTGAGTTAAAATGAGTTTGTTTACTGCAATGCTTGCATATCGGATATACCTATTTCGCAGTTATCAACAATTAAATTGTCATTTTAATTGTTAATGTAGAGAATACATAGAACACGATGCAAAACTGAAATAGTGTGTAATGCGGAACTGCCTTTGTTCAAGTCTTTAAATGATTTTTAGATGTTAAAATTATTGCTTTAAGTGGAAATATATAAGTATAAAAAGTGTTTAAAAAATATGCCCCTTCTTGTGGTATTAAATTGTCGTAAGAAGGATAAAGATGTCACAAAGCATATTATCTCACAATACCTACCAAGAGAAAACGGAAGATAGATGTAAAGAATTATAAATCACATAACACCAAATCTTTTTACAATCTTTGTACACAGACTGTCATAACCTGAAATAAGAAAATTATATCCAAACGTTAGACCCGTAAAAATATTTGATTGTTAGTAATCTTCTGTATTTGCTAACGAGCATATTCATACATTTTGAACACATATATACGTATTTTTGTACCAGAATATGGGAATGACTCGTCGGAACATTCTAGTCTTTGTATATATATAAAATTACGTACTAAAGACCACTTTGTTATCCTACAATCAATACAATTGTCCGGTCTCAAATCTTAATAAAAGGTCAGTCTGTCTGATTTTCTTCCTTAAATACTAGTAACATTAGTGCTTACATGTACTTTTCAAAGAAACGTTTCTTGATTTTGTTTTATTTGATTCTTATATAAATGTATCTTTCATATCAATGTATGATTCATAATATACTTTGAGCTTAGACAGAAAATCTCATACTAACGCACTCATCATATCAAAAATCATTAAATGAATAATATGAAGAAACACATTTTTTATTCCATAGCAATATGCAGTTAAAATGACCAAATGTTCATTCAAATCGTTTCTTACTGAAATACATTAATTGAATGTAATCAATACACGGCTTGTTGTTTCAGCACTATGTAAACGAAAAATAAGATCCATATGTATATCACATCTCATCAACTATTATTTTACATTAATTCTAATGGACAAATGCAAGAAGACAATTACGGAATGTGTCTACAGCTTTTGCTAAGATCTGTCTATCACTTGGCTAAATTATAATTTTGCAACGTGGATTATTTTTGTCATAATAGGCACCATACAATTATTGAAGAACTTCAGTCAACATTTATTGTATCAATTGTTCTTCGTTTTTTCCGTTTACTTCCTTAATTTGTTCCTTAACGCATACACACAATGATCAACATGGAAAGGTAAATGTATTCCCAAACATTAGCCGTTACTTAAAACTATGATGTTGCTTTAAAATAGTCACTTACCTTAAATAGCGCAACGATTTGCCTTTGTCAAAAATGCAAATGTATAAAATTCCTTTTATGATATTTAAACTTAATAAGGTTGTAACTATAATGTAAGGTTGTGAAGTTTGCAGTTATCAATTCTTACAAAAACACGAAACTTGATAAAAATAACATGAATTTACTTTTCAGTAGACATTTCCAACCAAAAACAACATGTATTAAGGATGTCAAAAATAATTTAATTCATTGAACATAATAACATCTACTTTTTAATTGTTAGTCCCTGTGAATTTTGACCTTAGAATATGTAATGTGCATAACTGCATAAATGAAATGTACTTTAAATCAAGCATGGAAGTATATTTGATTTATGTAGAACTGAAGTATTGATATAGATATTTGGCTAATGTGTATGGCTTTATTGTTTGATGCATCCCTTCCATTTATAGGCAATGCTTCAAAGTATTTTCCTCATAGAAATATTCTACAAGAATATCATTTCATACAAATACTTTAATAGGCTGAACAATATACATGTTTTCTTTAGGAACATAATCAAATATTTTAGATTATGTATGTCTACATGTATAAAATTATGTATGAACATGTACACTAAATATTATAAATATATTACTATGCCGAAATGTTGTTTACAAAATGCCACATAAAGTATAGAAAAGTTATATTGTTTTAATTTCGATTTTAGTTTTCTTTTTTAGTTGGCTTTTTCTTTTGGATATATAGCAAAGTGAGATTCAGCACAATTGTGCTGTGATATTTTCTTAAACAGTATAATATTTCTTCTGTCAACTTTTTATTTAAATACATATCAAAGATTTCGTTTATCCCTTAATCTGTTACAACCATTTGCTACTATTTTCAGACCAGACATAATCTCTCCTCCGACAATGTAATTGCTCGCCCATTATTCTTATAAATGAAAAAATGAAAGTCGACAAAAGTGTATTCCAAGACATCGCTATGTCTGTATTTTGATGATTTCACACAAAAACTTAAACTACTCCTCATTATAAATAGATAGAAAGATCTAAGTTAACTAGAATAAATGACTTAATGTCTACCATCCCTGAAACACATCCTCTTCTTTTCTATACTAATTGACAGAACATTTCCATAAGAAAGATGCCTAAATGACAGAACGCACAAGTTACAGAAAGTTCCCTAGTTGTTAAATTCTACTTAAAGGTTTCAAAAGTGTTCAAAGTATATGAATATGCACGGAATGACTCTGCTGGTATACTTTAAGCAAAGAAGACAAAATATTTTAAAATCTATTTTTTGCGCTAAATTCTACATATTATAGAAACTTTTCTGTGTCTGTAAGCTTAGAAACAAAGCGTGAATTTCATACAAAGACTCTCTTACATAGATCGAGTTGGGAAATATATAAAATGAAAAGAATAAATAAACATACCTTGAATTAAAATGAAATTTGTATTTTTGCGATATCCTTGTCCAAACTCAAGCTAGTTTATGAATTAAAACTCGACTTCTTCTTTTTTCGAAGATGGGGGAGTTTTTTTTCCATAATTAAAATCATAATTTTGAAAAACGGATACAGGCATGAGCCATATAGCAAACTGTACATGAATCTCGACAAATATTTACAGTCCTGTCACGTTTAAAAAACTTATTTTGAGCGCCTTTTGCATGAAGAAATGCTTTTTGAAATCAGAACAAAGTGAATAACGCTTCGAGCATGACTTCGAGCGGAACTAATCCTTATACGACATTTATATTTAAGTTCTGTAATTTCCGTATCTGATCTACAAATTCTATATCGAACCATTCTAATTATCAAAAGTAATGGATCATCCTATTACTTATATTTTGTAAATACTGGAAATATATAGTTATTATATATGACAGCAGTGATAACGTTTTGATGTATCTTTACTCAGATTGTTATGAACTAAAACCAAATATTGACTTTTGTATTTACATAGCTTATATGATGAGTAACCAACGTGCTGGTACTTTAAACACTCTTGGAATCTTTCTACACGAACTTAACAAAGTGAAATTATACTTTGTTTATAAGAGAGAGTTAATTCTCATTTCATTAAACGCTTTATAACAAACTTTTAATAGCGTCAGTGTTCATGATTATAGTGCATAATAGCTAGCTGTAAATACCTTTTCAGAAATTGTAACCCTTATATTACACCAGCTTAAGATGTCTTTAAAAGCACTTATTGTGTATACAATTATGAATTCTCATTCACTTAAATGTTTTAACATATATTGCAAAAGTTTATTACAGCTAAGTATACCTTTGTTTCTGGTATTACGTCAGAGTTGAGTTGACAGGTTAAAAGGTACTCATTGTACAATTATTTTATACAAATAGTTTAACATTTTTAAATAACAGATACAAAAACAAATAAGGACATGTGCAATCAATTTAGTGTAATGCCTTTTCACCTACATAGTTTGTCTCTTTTTGACATTATGCCATAAAACATTGTACACAAACAAATTGATAATAAATGTAAAGTTCTCCGGTTTGATGTTATAACTGGGACTAATTGTGTATCATTCTGTCCCAGGTCATATCAATGTACAAATTAATACAAATGCAGATGAATCTTACTAATTGAAATTGTGTTTTGAAATCATGCAGTAGCATGTCAAATCACAACTTACTAACTAGAAAAAAAGTCGATACATTATTGAATCAAAGACATGGTTTGATATCTCATCATTTGACTTATCAATCAAAGAATGATTTGCATTTTCCGAAATGAAAGGAATAATCTTTAGATAAATTCTAGGAAAAACCAAATAACTTGAATAGGATATTACTGTAAAATTATTGCATTCTATATTTTGTTTAAACAGTTTTGAAACATTCGAAACAATTACCGCCTCCACACATATTCTAAAATAATGAACAAATGCGCCATTAGGATCTCCAACAATATGTAAAAGAGTTGACCTAAATATTGTTATTATATGAAAGAACAACAAAAAAGTAATTACAAATATATAAACTATGATGGGTAAATGTACAAATGTCATTCTCAAACAGTACAAGTGGCGTAAAGAAAATAGTAAACGGACAGCTTTTTCAACTGATTACTACATGTTCAGTAAAATAAAATAAAATAAAAGACTAGCGAATTTGGGGGGTATTTGAGAGAGAGAAAGCAGTCTTACATGAACTAAGTAAGTATTATTACTAAATGTCCACCGGCAATCAATAATGTACGCGATTGAGTAACAAAATGGAAATCGGATTCTTCATTAAACTAATGGATTTCTTAAAACCACAATTCACATCACTGCAACACATAATGATATAGTAGAGTCATTCTGTAGCTATTTTGGAAATAGGATGTGCATTCAAAGGATTTATTTTAAACCCAGTAACTAATGAAAAACGGTATTTCGATGCATTTACCTGAATTTCAAGTAACTTATGACCTACAGATATTTGTCATTATTCAGTTGATATCAAATTAGACCAATATTACACTTATACTATGTCAGTTTGATATTTTTAAGTACGATAACCCACTCCTTTAAATTCAAAAGCATATCAAATACATGTATTTTCACATTGATCTACTATCACATGTTATCATGAAAATATGGGGCAAGGTGACCGTAATTAAGTCAACAATGGATACCATGTACAAATATTTACACAAGAGTTATTGGCTAAACCAATTTCAAAGGGTAAATATCTGGAAAAAGCCTATATCTGATAAGCGTATATCATTTGATTAATATTACAGTTAGTCTGAAATACGTTGAATAAACAAACATACTTTATCCTGATAAACGTCTCTTACCAAACAATGTTTCAGAGTGCTACTATATATTTATATCTTTTTTCCAAAAGACAATAAAACAAAACAATAACTCTTCAAAGAAATAGTCTGAAAGTGATTGATTTTTTAATTCACAATTATATTCGTTTGGAATCCACGTGAATCGGCAATGCTTCTTGAAGCGTGAATCTGTTAACACAAAGCAAGGTTGCATGCAGGGAAAAAAGGTCAGAAATTCATTAAAAAATTCCCTTTTTAAT